CCCTTTGCAGTAAATATTGCCAGAATTTTGTTTTCTTTTGGTGTCAAAAAAAACATAACAGACGAAAGGGATTCTACGCCACTTGGGTACAGATCTGCTCTACACGTACGTCAGTACTTTCGACTTTTTCAATGGCAGTGCAGGCAAAACTCGTCTACGGGTGGTGATTTACTACTTTGCCTACTATGTGGAGAACTCAGCAATGATTGGTGCCTGGTACGCGGCTTACCCCTTCACTGCCTCATGGTATTACCTTCCAGCCCTTCTAGTTGTGGTAACAGTTCAATGGATTGGCGCCATCTTCCTCCAAGTCTACTTCTTCTATTTTTCGGCTTCACCACGAGGAACTTCGTTGTGTGGATTGTGTTGTCCGGATGAATTGAGAGGTCCTGTGGAGTTGGTCTACTCTCCACTCCCGTTTACCTATCCACCAGTTCAAAATGCCCAACCTCTTCCTCCACCACCCGTAGATAATCCCTCGTTCATCCTCCAGTCCACTTCACTCTACTCTCAACGCGGTCGTCTCGGTCCTCAATCAAGTCATGAAGATCCATCTCGAACGGATTCCCTAACTGTGGTTACTGCCGAAATGCCAAGGAAGCCGAGATCTCGTTACCTCTACGTGAGGAGTCCTCCAGAGGCCGAGTTGATGGAGGAGTGGAATGATGTGGACGGTTTTATTCCTCCCGACGATGGGGATGTATGAAAGTGCACTATGCGGTCCGAAATGCTTGTACATACGGGAAATGCGAATCTCCGATCAGTGGACGATCTGTTGCTGTGACGCTAGGTGAAGTATTTGTACAATGTTAGCAATTTTGACTTTCTCTAAGAGATTGTTTGCTTTTTTTGGTGCTGTTGTTGTTGGTGTTGTCGTCTACGTGCACTCATGCATCCATTCTACCGTCCACCTACTCATCTACCCATTTCACTTTCGCTCATTCCGCGTTCATCATTCTCTAAGTCATGCTTCTCAATTTCTCACCCATCAATCCATTCATTTCAGTTCCTTCATTCTGCTAGTCGAAGACTAATTGACAATCACGATGTGTATTTATGGCTGTCGTTGGTCGTTGCCTGATTATAATTAATGAGGAGGGCAAAGTTTGGGAAAGTTTCTAATTTATTATTATTTTATTTTTTTTGGTGGGGTCCGAGGGAGCGTCGATTTCAACCCTCTCAGCCGCACCTCCGTTTCTGCGGTGTGGCAGCTGATTCTTCCCTAATCCCCTCGGAAGGTGGGAGTTTGTACACCTAGGCGTCGTTGGCATCAGGGTGAAAACCTCGTGAGGCGAGATGGCCAGTGGGTCTCCAGGTTGCCCCTCCGGGGTCTCCTTAATGCCATGAAGGAATGCATGATCATGTGACCCTTTAGGAGGCGAACTTTGACGTTTAAAAATGGGGGAGATGGAGGTAAAATTAGTTTCTTATAAGATAAGGCAAAATGTCGGCAAAAGCACCTCATGCGAAGACTGCGATGGCGGAGGGTGCGATCTTCCGCTTTTATGATGCTTTCTTGTTCGTTCGTTTAATGACTACACCAACCATCTGTCATATGCAGCTTTCTAAGGCAAATGTAAAAGAAAAAAATGATAACGTGAAGGGACTTGGGTTTCCCTTTTTTTTGAAATTTTACTCCCATCTAGACAACATTTTTGAGTTGACCTCTGTCTCTGTTCTCATTGAAGCCTTTGTGGCCTTCAACACTATCTGGACAAACTTTGCGCCTCGGTGCTTTGTTTTACCACGTCGGAGCATGTTGCGAAGGTGT